GCGCCTAAACATTGTGAAACTATTCGTTGAAATTTAGACGAAAGTTCTTAGTTTTATCTTTTATTGTTGAGATCTTATGCCCTATTAAAATAGGACGTTGAATCAAGATGAACGGATTACTGTGAGATTTTATAAATGAAGAGAGAAGCTTATAACAAGTTGGAAAAAACAGCCTATGCAAGAAGGAACATCAAGAAGCAAATCGATGTAAAAAACCTCAAAAATAGAAGTACCGCTATTATCAAAAACTCCAACTCTTGCAATTTATTTCAATATCCATAGAACAAGAATACCGAACGATATAATTTTTCCTCTATGCCTTAAAAAATTATAAAGTCTCTAATATCCGACTGTATGCATGTCTATTTATTATCCTTAAACTTTTTTTCACTTCAATATCACGGTTTCAGAAAAAGTCACTCATGTATAACCAACCTGCTGACGGCGGTGGACAGAAAGACAACCATCGTTGATCGCAAGGGGAAAGTTGACGTTATTCACCTCGACTTCTCAAAAGCTTTTACAAAGGTCAACTACATCTGTCTTATCAATAATCTCAAACTATTAGGTATCAAATCACCTTAAATTGATTGGCTCACTTTATATCTACAAAATCGACATTTTAAGGTTAGCGTTAACTTCGAATTCTCTCAGTCGATGGAGTGTCTCAGTGGGGTCACACAGAGTCCGGTACTAGGACCTCTTCCTTTCTTCATTTATGTGAACGATCTTCAACAGCAGGTGACCTCATGTTTATTACTTTCTCTGATGACGTGAATCTCTAGAGAGGCGTACACATCCAAGAGAATAAACTGGCACTTCAGGGCGATCTGAATCGACTTCAAAGTTGGGCAGATGACAGCAAGCTTATCTTTAACACTCCAAGCTTTGAACAAGTCCATTTGTGACATGCTGCAGACTACAGCTACAACTAAAGTTACTTCCCTCTAGAGGTGTATCAGGTTGAGAAAGATCTAAGAGTGTTGGTACCCTATGATTTAAAGTTTTACGCTAACTTCGATGAAAGTGCCTTTCGAGCATACTTTGAACTGGTAACTTTGAATTACATTTTCGGACAGTTCGACAAGAGAACTTTTTTGCACACAATCTTCAACGGTTTTATTCTTCATGATTTAGAGTACGGAAACATAATATTTCCTCCCTCACTTCGAACGGATAAGCACACTCTCAAACGTATCCGACGGCGAGCCAAGTATACACTTCGGAGAATCAGATTTAAGACTTCTGAACAACGCCTTCGATCACCGAACCTTACATATTAGGGCATAAATGACTTAGAAGTGACTTGCTAATGACTCACTTCTGGATACCTTTTAAACACCTACTCAATCTCTGTTTCAACTCAAACCTAAGGAGCAGCACCCAGAAATTGGAGACACGACACAACAGTATGGACTGTAGACACAACTTCTACTCCTAAAGAGTAGTCGAATGCCGGATTTCGATGCCGAATGAGCTAGTCCAAACGAATTCCCTGCAGTACTTTAAGAAAATACTTGATATATTCTTAAGGACTAAGGACAGTATCTTACTATGATTTACTAACTTTCTCTTTTATCGTCAATATTCCTAGGTTCCCACCTTGAGGTATTGGTGATCCACTGCTACTAGATACTGAAGCCCGTCTAGAGAAAGCTTCTTCTATTCAGACTAGAACCACATGAATCATTCAGAATTTGTTTGGAGGTCTGGCATATGTTTTTAATTGAGTTTTATTAGGCTGGTTACATTTCCAATACTAATGTGACAATTTCGTACCTTAATACCTGAAGCAGTTCTTTATTTTTAGTAACGTTTATTCTTAACAGCCTGAACGCTCGGCAGTTTTTGTCACAGTGATGTCATCCAGTTGTTAGATGTCAATGAGATTTTATCCAGAGAATGAATAGGTTCTGATGAACATATATCAAACCACAGTGCTCGATTTATCTGATCCTATTGAGTCACGACAACAAAAAGGTATGATGAGACAGAACAGAGGACAGGACTAAAACTATTTACATATCTTGAAACTAGAATGACAATAAATAATGATACGTTTTAAGTAAATTTATGTTATATGCTAAGAGAACAGTTTGTTGGGTAAACAATGTGAACATCGTGGAGCATAATATTTGACACCCAGAACTCCAGGAATTTCTAACAAGAGTGACTGAACTTTCTTAAACTTATTTGAAAAAGCGTAAAATAAGATTACAAAAAACCGAACAGTATTCCTACGATGTCCACCATTGTAAATTTTCTATATTTTGTAGTTTCATGGAACAATGTGAGCTGGGGTCCCGCTTTTGTGCAAATACTTGAATAAAATTATACAAAAACAGCTTTCCCAAAATCTTAACTATTCTATTAAAAAACACTTTTAGGACACAAAATAGAAGCAATTGTACAGAAATGATATGCTGAAATAATTTAAGGGAAACCTCTCGGACATACCATTGACGTTGGAGGTATAAGCCAAATGTAAAACAAAGTGATGGGTATTACGAAATACACAAAATCGACTAGTACTAGAAACTTTACACTTTTAGCATGTTCATCAGGCCGGATGACGGAAAAAAACTTTATTCAGTATTTTTTAGCAACTGACTCATACCAATCCACAATTACCCTAAAGCATCCACTAGTAACCTCATAGATACATTTGACAAAGCAATCAGCGTACCATTAAGACCTCCAACGAGTCCGTCAAATGTTCCCGAAAGTTTTAAGACGTAAAAGCAATGCGTATTACTTTGGACAAAAAAAACAGCCATATGGTACACTACGCACATTTTCCATTCTCAAAAGAAACCTCAGAATTCACTTTTTTATTGACTGGTAAGCCGTTAAAACTAGTTTATAAGGGTTCTTTCCTGAACCAAAGATCTCCAAGGTTTCACTGATGCGCAGTAGAATGAGACGTTGCCAATTGAAATCTCTTCCAGTTTAACTATCTCAGAACCAAGCAAACCAGAAATCGATGGTGGTCGGGTGTGAGGATATTCTTTGACAATGATCGGCATGTTGAAGTGTGTGAAAGCTAACAAAATGTTGTAAGAATCTGGTGTACTGAAGTGTGGTCTGGCGTAGACGTTTAACCAAGCGTTTATAGTTTGAGGTGTTCGCACTAAAACTCTTGAGGTCAGCACCAACGTCAAGGAGTTATGAAATTATGCTCCTTCTTTCAAATGGTAAGGACGTAGGTAATTTAATTTAAAATCCTTACATGTCACAATCGGATACCACGATAGGATTCGGAATAATAAACATTCCATCCCCACCAGACTGTCCAAGAGCACGGAAACTTTTTAATTAAAGATATTCGGTGTTAGTTCACTGTGATGGTCGGTATTCAATATAATCCTCAAACTTCTTATATAGTTCGTCCTGATAACCGTCATTGGATGACGCCTCAACGGTGTATTAATAATCAGTTTTGATTAATTATATTATCGCGCCAGGCACAGATAACCAAAATAACAGGTACGGTAAGTAAGCACGAAGGATTAGTGCCGAAAAGCAAGCGGGCAAGAGAATGAGCAAGAGAGAGAGTCGAATCAACGAGCCAATGAACAGAATTAAAATGTACACATACATACCTAGAGAAATGAATGGTTCATCGAATCAATTAAGCGAATAACTCCAAGGCTAGCAGAATGAATATATATGCTTAGGCAGTAAGTAATGCTCAAGCATATATATTCACACAAGTTCAAACATAAAGTTGCAATGTTAAAGATAAGTTGTTATTGTACGAATGACTCTGCCTGTTAAATTAGTTAATAAAAGGGCTTAACCAAATTAATTGTGAACAAACGCAATTGCACGTGAGCTGCCATATTACCATCATTATTCTTAAGTTAGCATTAAATCTTGATCGTTGACAGCACTGAATGTATAAGTCCTAAAACCAAAGCAGAGACAAGCCGTTCAACGTAACTTTCAACATTGTGTGTACGGACGAGATGAAGTTACAAGCTTAACTCACTTTTTACTCGTTACGTATAAAATTATGAAGATCAAGTCATAGTGTGATGTACGCTATTTGAGTCAAGAGATCTAAGTAGTAAGTAGCACCAACCAGGTGAGGAGTGCATGACAGCAGAAGTTTACGAAGGTCGACTTGAAGAATACAGAAACGGAAATAAGAAAGTATTGTGAATTGGAAGAATCATGCGGAATTTGTGGAACAAACGATGAAATTTTGCAGATGGAGTATATAATGTATAGTTCTTGTATTTTGCTAAGAGATTCTGCACTTTTGTATTAAAATACAGTTGCCGTCCTCTGCCTAAATGTTTGTTCATTACAAGCGAACAGCTCATTTCAAATGTCAAATATTTCACGGAGATTGTCGCAGAATGATAATGAATGACATACAATAGAGTAAATCACAACGACAGCCAAATAAAGATCCGGGATCAGGTCAATGTGATTCAGACAATCCGGATGGTTATGTTAGTAACACCGAAAATTTGGTGCTGAATAACCTAGTTAAGCAAACCATGCACTCAGCTTTTAGAAATTCTCAGGTTGTTGCAAAAGCTCAACTATAGGTGCGGGTGACAAACGTTAATCGCTAAATTTGACATGTACTTTTTAGGTGATATAAGGGCAACAAATTTCCTTGATAATGCATCAAGTTGCTGATGAAATAAAAATCGCAACATCCATTAAAGAAACTAAATGGCGCGTTTGTGGTATAGGGGAAAATTTTCTTGGTTTTTCAATGGAGAGGACTTAGATCCGACATTACTTGGATCGAAATTATTATCTCTATTTGAAATGAAAAACACTACAGTCTCGCATATTGCCTCATTTTGCATTCAGCAATATAACGTGTTTCATACCGGTGGTTTCTGTTAATAATGTTCTAACTTAATCGAGGTTATAACATTTTCTATCTTCAGTATTTGACCGTGCTACAACTATATGTTTTGGCGGAAACTCTCAGGGTCACAATTGGCTCGCTTTCAAGCAGTCTCATTTTTGAAAATATGACTGCGGAGGTGGAGATTAATCCGTTTAGACCTGGTGGTGAACTTTCAAAGGAAGTGGATGATATCCTGAAAAACTCTACTATTTCAAGGGATACGGTAAGTTCTCTTGTTTTATTTCTGCATAGGTGTAAATGCATTTCTGAAATCTGCAACTAGTCTTTCGAGTGATTGTTTTGTGTAAAGCTATGTAATAAACTCAGTATGTGTAAACCCTGCTTTTAATACACGTACGCTTTTATAACCGGATTGGAGTTTTAAGGTCTATCGGACGTCCAAGCCAGATCTATCTATGGGTTTACAAACGTTTTTATAATAATAATGTAATTATTGTAAATACTGATGACAAGATTTCTGGTAAACTTAGTACTCAAGAGGTTTTTTGGTATTATTTTGTAGAGTTTTAAATGCATTTAACAGATTACTCCGTCCGTTCCGCACAATGAGTTTTTTTATTTCTAAAGGTATAACTAGCTGGCGAATTACTTTTCATATGCAGTAATCCATTTTATATTGCAAAACATTCATATCTTTCAAGTTCTAACAAATATTTAGAGGAATAAACCGGATCTGATCAGTCTGAAACATCTGTACTTAAATGAAATAAGATACTGTCTGTTTGGTGCTTCTGATTAATATCAGAAGGGGTTTGTGGAGATTTTAGAAATTTCACAGATTGAAATCATGAGTTAATTAAAGCGCAACTTCGTGGAGTGGTTGAAGTTAGACAGTAACACCACTGGATGCCGGCTCAGTGGTCTAGTTGGTTAGGCGCTTGGCGCGAGACTGATAGGTCGTGGATCCGAATGTCGCCGAGTGCGAGGTCGTGGATGCGCACTGCTGAGGAGTCCCGTACTGGGACGAAACGGTTGTCCAGTGCTTCTGAGTTCTCCATTGTGGTCTAGTTTCAACTGACTCATGGTTTCGATCTGTGAAGCTTCTGATTAAGTTCACTCGAAATTCTCTTACAATTTATTTACCCTATTCTTTGTTTGTAGTAGTCCAGTTGTCTGTTGAGTAAAATCTCAACGCTACAGATTTGCAAACAGCTCTAATTAGTATGGAGTGACCTACAATATCACTTGAAGGTCAAGAATTTATATGTCCTTAATTTGTGAAGGCTAACTAAATCGTAAAACTAGGTGAAGTAACCTACATTTTAGGCAACTCTTTTCAGTAGTCAAACTGTTCGTCAGTTCAGATCGATTATATGGTGACACTTTATATTCGAGACTAAGAGGATTTTCAGAATTAGCCATTTGCTTTTCTTCAAGTCCTCATAAGATCCTTTTTGGTTTTCCTAAAATTTCAGTCGTCTTTAATGGCAGCCCACAATCATTGTTTTTCAGTTACAAATTTCTTCTCGGAATTTAACTTAGCCGTTTCTGTTTAAGGATTATTATCTAAATTTAAACTACCTACTTTAGTTTAACACTCAACATATTGTTTCTCAACAAATAATGACTCAGTCAATGTATTGAAATAGACCGCGACGGAATACATCCTTGTTTTCTAATCTCGTTAAGAGTAACTTACTAGTTTAAACTCATATTTTAAATACAGTCAGTCAGTCAGTCAGCTACAGTGACTTGGTAATGCTTCGATTGTGTGCTATTTGTAAAGGCAGCATCCAAACTATGCGAGATCCATTTTCGAGAATAGCTACTGTCTGTAATCAACCTGTGCGTTACTAAGATGATACATAATGTATTAGTCGTTTGTGTCCGTACTGTATATAGAATGTCCCCATTAATCTGAGCTATAGAAAGTATTGGTTTGAGCAGCTCATTTACTATGTAATTCTGGACATACTTCTAAATAACATTTTGTGTATAAAGGTTAGTGGTCCTAACTAGCTGACCAAACTAAAATAGTTTGGCCCTATTTAGCGTTAGTGGTCTTAAGTATCTATAATTAATTCACTAATAAACTACAGGCTAAAAAGTCACTCTGCCCATTTCGGTCTGAACAGGTCAGTAAGACCACTAGCTTCCACAAAACGTCACAAGGCTATATATATGAGTTTACGAAATCGCGATTTAAGATTATAGTGTTGTCTCAATTCCGTAGATTTACTCCTACCTCTTTTTTCAGATAATTATCAATGATCCAGCGTTGCGCCGCGCCAACGGAAATGCGACATCTGTAGACGGGATTATATCCAATAATGTTCACACAAAATGTGCTGAATCACCTTTCAAATCCCAAACGTCCAATGGTCTCAGTGTTACCGATCGTTCTCCACATCCACCTGGTCTAGTAACGTGCGAGGTGGTATCTCAACATATACAACCACTTCAAAGTCCGACCTTTCAGTCTAGCCAAGTTGAACATGTCAATATAAAGAGCAGTAGGAAACCTACTAAGTGCTGTGTACTTCAGTGAAGCTAATAAACATAAGTAAAAACTGTGAGCTTACCCTTAATTTTTACATCTACAAACTTTCCTTTTGATTGCAACTGTGGAGTATACTTAGGATTTATTTTAACACATAGATATTGGTACAAAGAGGCACCAAATACATATGCGCCACACAAATCTCATTCGATATGTGTGAGGGCTGTGATATTGCCCGAGTGCCCAAACCGAAGCAGATGGTTTTCCTATGGGACCACTCTCCGAGCCTTCGACCTGAAGGTCTGATCCACAAAACAGTGGAGCATCGTATGGAGATGCAATCCCATGGAAGCCGGTGACCAACGATTGGTTCATACGTCATTTGTTCCTTCAGGATACTGGAGCCCATGTGCACCATTTATTTGGAATCCTGTTAAAGCGCCGGGAATTCTCTTTTCGTCCTCTCATTTTCGTAAACAACACCCCCGCCACGAGAAGGCAGTGAGTAGGACTTCCCTGGAAATTCATTGTTAATTCTATACTATTAGTTTTTTTTGTATTTGTGGGCGAATTGAACCAGGAAGAAATTCGAAAGTGGCAACTTGAGTAGATATGTGCTGACGGATTGATGGTACCATAAAGTGCATGAACCGTCACCAGGTTTTCATTTCCGATTCCGTTTCATATATCTTGGTTTGAAAGATAGAACATGCACAAAGATATGTTGTTTGGCAACAATTATAAGATCTCATCTGTTCTTTATTTTTGTAGACTGACGAAGTTTGATTTATGTCATGATTTATTTTACATGACCTACATTTAACCACTTAAAGTAATATACGTATAATAGTTGATTAGATTACACAGAACACTTGATTGGATAGAATTCTCAAACCTGCTGACATATGAAAATAATTCAGATATATGGAGAATAAACTAAGTATTTAAAATGAACCTGTTTCTGTCCAAATAAATAAAATGAAATCTAGCCAAACACCACAACTGTTCTTGAATGTGGTTGCTTATTGGCTAAATCAATGAAATTCTAACCTTAGGATCACACTTTCAAAACACTTTGTCGATTGTAACAGCTTCTTAATACTCACAAAGGTATGGCTAGTATCGAAATGCGCAAACACGTACTTGATCACTGATTTAAATCTAATTGTCACATTTTAATAATAGGAATAATAAAAATGGGTATAATAATTAAGTACAATATGAAATTTAATTGCCTCTTGTTATACGCCATAAATCCAGGCCTACCAATTATTTTCTTGCTACGTTGACCCATGAAACTCGAATTTTTTTCTCTTACAATTAAAACCAATAACCATTGATTTCATAGATTAGTACTACGTCTTGTGAATTCATTTAAACGTCACCCTATAATAGTATTATTTCACATTTTTCACGTGGACAGATGATCCTCAGACTTACCTAGAACATTCTTCGAATACCTAAGTCAATTAAAATATTGAAACTTAATCATCCAAAAGCAACAACCAAGTTCATATTACTGTATCAGACTTTAAATTATGTATTGTAATGCAATAATTACCAAGGTGTACAACACTGAGTATTCACCGATTTTTTGATGTTCCTTTTCTTACCAACTAATTCTTATTTGATGTGAATCTCATAATATCTTAAGCTCAGTGTTTTCCCTACAAACAATAACTTCATTTCCAAATATATACTCTGTCAGTTAGCCAATGTTTTTGTCTTTAATAACCATTCATGAGGAAATTAGGCCTCATTTACATCGTCAAACTATCGAGTTGTTAAGTTTGGCCATTCCAATATTTTATCAATATGTTGCGCAGTCATAACAACTACAGTGGTCCAAATATACCATAATGAATGTAATACATGTTTCGTTCGTTTTTATGATTTCATATTATAACGAGTGAGCTAAACTTGATCATACTGTCCTTATTTTATCTTTTATTTTAGATCCCGTTGACAATCTGATGAAATAATTACTTTGCCGAAAATACGCCACTGTATGCTATTCACCAGTCATACCTTCACAAGCTTAGTGTTTTAATAGGTGTTTTCAGATGACTTAGCATGTCTTATCTATTTAAAAACACGTAAAATCATATGCATACACAGTCTTCCCGTTTGAATTTTTATCCTTTTTTCCAACAACTCAATAAAAACAAACTTTAAATCGTCCGGTTTTCACATATTACACCAAATTACATTTTATTTTACCTACTTTCTCAAACTTTTAAATTTTAGATGAACACCTGAAAGATTATTTCTGCGTCCTTCGTTATATGCTGTTAACGTGGCTTTTATGTTTACAAAAACTAAATCTAATTCATCCATTACGATTGAACACTAACGGAGACTCTGAAAATCAGGACCTTTCTTCAAGTGCAATTTCTTATGACATAGGTGTATTCACATAAATAATACGTAAAAAGCATTTCATTTTATTGCTCTCTGCCTGAAGTTCTATTTGATCAGTTTGTTTTTGTTTACTTTACTACTTTAGATTTAAAAAAGATAAAAGGTTTACTTGATTGTTTGTTTTAGATAATACATCACTTCCTTGCTTTGATTTTTTCCATACAGTTTAAGTACTAAGTGTGACGCTTCAATTTTGTCAACTGTATTCGGTTTCACCTCGTCCACCGTTATATATATATCATATGGGGTTGTGTCTCTTTCATTTCCATGTTGTTGGACACGCATTTCTGCGCATGTAAGACAATAACAGATTTCCTCTTCTTTCCATATTCCGATTTGATAGTTTAAAGATGTTCTCTCTGCGTTATTTTACTCCTATATTCTCAAGTAACTTGTGCACATCTATCTCCTAATGCCCCTCCTTTTTCTGTACCATTTGTACAATTTCTCTGTTTTGTTGATCATTATATATGTTGGAATCTATCCTCAGCTACCATTTTTATTCCGTTTTAAACACCTTTAATATTGTTTCTTTGTATTTTAGCCACTTTGTTTCTTTTCTTGATTTTTAATTCCATCTGCTTCAAATAAAATTGATTTGAAAATTACTATGATATTTAGTTTTTCTTGTGCGTTCACTTTTTTCATTCTTTTATGAATTGGTTCTCAAATCGTGGCGTCTAATTTGGTTTGAGCATTTGCTCATCATTACCAACCCTAGGACGCATCCAACCTAAAGTCAAATACACAAATCTGTATTTGGCTTTTGATTGTCCTTACCACTGTTTTTTTTTACAAAAAATCGAAAATAAGTCTCATCACGCATTTCGTTTGCAGTCACACATTTGAAAAATAAGCCACAATAATGAAATACATATGATTTAATAAATGTTTGCTTTGTCCATGAGGCCTAACCCAAGATTTTTATGCCTCTCAGCAAACACCAATTCAAATTATTTAAGGGAGATAGGTTAGTAAACATTTAAGTTCACTCGGCACAATTTTGGCTCTGGTTCTATGACACATCGTCTTGACGTTGTATCCATAAGGTGATAGGCTATTAAGTTACTAAGCTATAATTCTCCTTATGTACAGTTAAAAATCGGTCTGGAGTATCCATTTTTCCTTTTTTATATATTCGGTTCTCACAGCTATATTCTGCTCTCTGTCCTTTATCAGTGCGATACTTCCGAAAGAATTTTCATGGATATCCATTATATCATGAACCTTTCCTAGTCGTTTTGAGTTAGAAATGCAGTTTATGTTCTTTGATAGGACGTTATGATTGAACACTATGCTATATAACTCTTTCTTGGTTGCGATAAACTACTCAAGTGTCATTGTGAATAACATACATTCTGATTGCTAGAAATACTGATTGGTACTAGCTAGAAATAATTTGAGGATCTAAAGTGGATTTTGAAGTCAGATTTGTTACTATCTCACTTTTGTACGATAATATTAATTGGCTATTACTGCAATTACACCAAAGCTTGGGACAGCCATATGAAGACGTGACACCATTCCATGCAGCCATTGACAATTAAGCTGGATCGTGTCGATAGATCTACTATCAACTATTATAGCATATTGTCATCCTATCTTTCCTGAACAATGTTTGTTATGCATCAGTAGTATTGTCGCAACTTTCTGAAGCCGAACAACTATTTTGCGAGTTGATTATCAATCATGTTAGATGTAATTTAATGATAAAGCTAGTAGTTTTTCACCAGTTTAAATTAGCTGTGGCAACATCGAGGACTAGCTATTCGCTTGTGATAAAATACTATCTTCATAAGATCTGCAAAAGCAAACATCCACATAAACTACTATGCCAGTATAGGGTCGTCAAGTTTAAGTCCCACTGAAATCATGAAACGATCAATGTCAAGCCACCATTAAAAATCTTGAAGCACTGGACTACCGTTTCATTCTAGTGTGGGACTCGTCAACCATGCGTGACCATCCAGTGCTTCCAGGTTTTCAATGGTGGCCTAATATTGATTGGATCTTAGTTACAGTGAAACCATTATACCCCATACCAATTATATAATACGTGGGAAGTGTTTAATTACCCATAAATTTGATTAGTTTCGAGTCATTAGTTCTGCAGTAGAAATAAATACACGAAGTTACTAGTCTTTGGTCATATTTATTAATCGTTCTTAGATTAGATTGCTAGACAATTTGTCCCCGAACTTGAGAAAGTGCTAAAGCATATCTGAAATATGTGATTTGCAAGTGATCAACGGGCATTGAGTTGTCACCAACTATCAATGATCGGTATTTCCTCATAGTCAGGGTGTTTTCTAAGTTCAGTAGGGGACTTTACGAATTTTTCTTGACTGGGTGGTGCACTTGGGCGTCTTTCAATGCAGAATTGGCATGTTTCTAGACACAATTCTACCAGCCAATAGTTGATCAAAAATTAGTGCAAATTAGAATGTTTTGAATGACAACAAAACTACCACTCAGAACTATTGAAGCTACTATAAAAGCTATTAGCCTACTTCTTGAGGTTCATTGATGTTGTTTAGGGAAGAAAAATGAAGTCTTCAGTATTGTTGACTCATAACTCGGGTTGCCATAACTTTATTTCCATTTTTCTTGCCATCAGTTCTTGAAAATTGTTTAAAAAACAAATAGATTTGTTTGCTTACTTGTATGTGGTTTCTTTTTCCAGTCATCTTACTTTTCTTTATTCTTTTATTTGTAATTATCTACTAATTTTACTTGTATGATTCGGTTCCGAATGTATGGAATAGTTTATTTGCTATACATTTTTAGGACTGATTAAATTTCCAATTCTCTTTTATGTCTTACGTTATTTTAAAAGTCATTTTAACACCTCGTTCAAAAACCATACCTTTTAAATTATTTCACCATTTGAATATGAATAATGTAGAACAGTGTAAATGCGAAAGTAAGGGTAGACTTTCGTTTGTTTGGTTCTTTACAAATCCTAACCTTTACATATTGTGGAGTACTTTTCATTGGTAGAACTGATAGTTCAATATCATATATTTATTTAGCTTATTGTATTACATGCCTACTTTGATAAAATTTACCCATTCAAAGTAGACAGTCATTTAACATAAAAAAGATTCTTATCTGAGGGTAATTTATGTTATGGACTGAGTCTGACCAACAACCGTTGAAAATAAATATTGCAACATGTTTTGTCCTAGTATATGATTTCTTTGCAGTTTAAAATCTACGAATTTATTGGAGATCAAAATTTGTAATTTCAATCTTGACAGATAGCACATGACCATGGGGATGACATCCAGTGGTTTACACCCACAAATTCCATCGAATTTAATTGTTGCATGGACAACATACATTGCAGTCGGTGATATTTGTCTCATACCTGATATGATGTTGAACGTTATACAATCAACCATGGTTTTTATCTCCTATTGTTTGCTAGATTTCCAGTGATCAAAACTATCTAATGTATAAGGTACGTAGACAAATACATCAATACATGACATTGTAAACAACATATACTATTTACTGAAGTCATAATATGATTAAATCTAAAAAATATTTACATGCTAGTTAGTTAATATGTAGTCGGAAGACATGCTACATTTATGCAACATACCATCATGATGTTTGTTTAAATTAGTCGAAAAGAACGTTTGGTATTCATGCTAAGAAACGATGAGTGGAATACATTTATTGTATTGATATCTCGATAGTATGAGAATAAGATACAACATAGTTATACAACATTTTTAATTATATATTTTTTCGTATTCACTGAATTGTGAAAAGTTTTGATTTATCAGAGTCTCATTTTATGTTCGATATATCTAACATTTGCGAATATTTTTATGATCAAATCTAGCAACCGATTAGGTTCAATATTTACAATTCAGTCACTACATTTTATTCCATTAACCAGCTGGAATGTAAATCTTACTGTCACCATATCTCTATTTTTATTGAGTTATATGGACCGTAATGAATAAATGGATGTCACGTTTATAGATGTCATCAGAAGACTACGTTGTTTCCTCATTAATGTTTACTATCACGTTTTGTTTTAAACATTCAGTTACTTTGTACTCTCTTCAGATATTTAGATACGCAGCAATGATTGTGTGCCTTATCACCACGCTAAACGAGCCCTATATGACCTTTCCCAAGCCGCTAGTTGATGAAGACCTCCAACTTCGATTATTGAAATGGTTTTTAGCTTTTCTCTACATCGTTATCAAACTTCCAAATCTACAAATATTCCGTAGTGGGAATTGCCCACTTAGCGCTATGGCTAGACCACGAAGAAATAAAACAAAACAAAGTTTATTAGCTATAGGAGAATGAAGTATGATGGATCTAGTTATACTTCATCTTACTTGAAGCCTCCAATAGATTTCCCTGGGAATTCATTGGTAGGCGAAATCAATTTGATAATTTAATATTTAGAGTCATTTTCAAGGTAAGTAGAAACCTAGCAAAAATGGCGGAGTTTCAGCAAATGTGTTATTATCTGTTATTGTAGAAAAAGTATACATTTTCGATTGTATTACCTTGAGAATGAAGTTTCGAAAAA